GCGGAGCGCCGCCGCCGACTCGCCCACGCGCGCTCGCCAAGAGGCCGCAGAGTCGCGCCACTGAGCGCCTGCAGCCGCCTGGCGCTGCGCAGAGCGAGCTGCGGTGCAAAAAGCCCGGGGTCGCGGACGCCAGCCAAACGCAGCCTCCACGCAGAGCCCAAGACTTGCGGAGCTCCACTCCCCTCCTCCCGCCTTCCTCCCTCCCTCCGCTTTTCTGTTGTTGCTGCTGTGGCAGACAAATGTGATGTGGGGCGCAGGGAATTGCCACTGTCACAGGCGGCGTCTGCGTCTGCCTCGCCCGCCCTCGCTCACTCTCGAGGAAGGCAACGCATTTATCTGCAGGGCGGCCGGTGTCCGCCGGGGAGCAGGAGCGCCGCGCGGGGTGGTGGAGGTGGGAGACATCTGTGTCGTGCGGGGGTCACGAAGGTCAAGTATATGTTAACAATGGGCTGGCCCGGCTCGCTAGGGCGCGCGGGCAGGCAGACGGCCTCCCTCCCGGCCTCGCCCTCTCCCTTGCAGGCTGGACGTGGGGCTGGCTCCCTAATGATGCCTTCCCGAGCCGCCTGCTCTCCGGCGGCCCGAGTGCCCTGCAGTAACCCAAGACGACCACTTTCCCCGGCCATCTGGAGCGCTCCTGGCTGCCCTGTCTGTGTCTCATCACTGGCTGGAGAGACAGCTCTGCTAGAAATCAAGCCACTCATAGATCTCCTCTCTAATCCCCTTCTGTTAGCTGATTTCCAGACTGACTATTTGCTTTCGCATTAGATAATAGCCTTAGAGAAAACAATTATCATTTTCTTTTTTCCCCCCTTTTTTCCTACTTCTCTCATAGTATACCATTAAGAGGAACCTTTTTCACGTTTTTTTGTTGGATGTACCCCCCTCCCCTAGACAATAATACCAATACTTAGAAGGGGGGAGGGAGTCCCGGAGGAAAAGATAGGGTGAAAGAATTCCAGATATTTCCAGAGTAAATAAATAATCTCTCAGTGAAGAGGACTGACAATTTGTTTGTACAGAGCAAAAAAGAGCTTGAATAATAATGAAAATATTAATATGTAGGTCAAATATGATCAGATAATGGCTTGCAATGATAAGTAAAATGAAACCTTTTAAAATTATTATGGCATGGTGCCACTACTGCAAATGTTATTGTATTTAGTGGAACAATTTGAAATCCTACTCCAAACCATGTTTTCTCCAACTGGCCTAAATCAATGTAAAATGTCCTTTGTGCATTCTTTTAAATGTCATCTTTACAAAGAAAAAAAATGCTTAAGATACAGTCAGAGTCAGCCTGGTGTAGAAAGAACTGATGAGACATTCGTAGGCTTTTATTTTTGAAGTGGTGTTTCAAACATTTAATAGTGAGTAAAATCCCTTCCCCCATCCTTTTAAACCCAGCTGGAGCTTCCAATTCTGAAGTCTTTTCAGACTCTACTAATTTTTAGCAATTCATTTCAGAAAATGCTCATTGTACATTCTGCCCTCTTCTTGGGACATTTGTCTAATGAATTATAATGGATGAGTGGATGGCAATGTTAAATCTTGGTATTTGATATTATGATGTTCTTAATTTGAATTTCCAATTTTATCAAGGTGTATACTCTATAGTAATTTCTGCATCGCAGTTCTTTATATTTTTGCCACACTTGCGAATCTTAACAGCATGAGAAATCTCAAAGTATAAAATTTGATAGATAGTACACAATTGTAACTCCTTTGTGTAAGATCAAAAACATGTTGCTATTTTATTACCTGTATTATCTCTTCCGTTCCCCAAATCGAAAACCAATGATTTAGATTCTGAAACTATACACTCATCCTTATATAAAATTAATAAAATGACGCCTGAACCAGGAATGATTCTTGGGACATAGTGTCACTTCTAAAACATATTTTAAATTTAGAAGGGGGTCAACAATTGTTTTATGGTTCAAAAAGGGACAGAAAATTTGAATGTACATATTATGCCACATCTTTCTTTTTCCTGTAAATTATGCCAATGTGAAATTATAAGAGAAATTTTGAACTTCTAGGTCAATGAAAAATTACTTGTAGGAAATCAAAACAGATTTTTCCACATTCAGATTATAGTCACCACACCAAGGTATATCTTATAAGGTTATACAAATCTTACAGGATTTCCTTTTATCTAGTGATAGTTGTAGAAAAATAATAATCATTGTTAAATTATACTTCATAAAACAGACAAACAAACAAGAACAAACAAACAAAAAACCCTTAACTTGGCTTTTTATCAGGTAGAATATCTCACTCAATTTTAGTAATTCTGATAACAGCAGCTGAAGAATGTACATCCTTGAGATGAAGAGAAAGAATGACTCCCTGTATTCCTTAATCCCACTTATCCCCTTGAAAGGCCTGTGTTCTACAGTAAGTAGAACATCCTTTTCTGTAGGGTTTACCCTCATTTTATTTCCTAACACCTTTATTTGGAGGAAATAGTAACTGTAAGGGCCAACTCAAGCATAAGATGATTCTTGAATTGCAAAATCTAGGAAAATAAAACATATAACTCAAAAGGAAGGAGATCCTTGGCACAGTGTGGAGGGAGGATGCAGATTACCTGAACTCAGCTGAGATAAAAAATATTTGGTTACCTTAGCCTTATGGGGGATAATATCACAAAACATTCAAAACACAACAAACTATTAATTGATACATTTTTAAAGCCACTCTAAGGAGACAAGGGGAAGAGGTCCTATCTGTCCACTGGGAGGAAGAATCAAGTGCCTTCAGGAGTAATTTGCTAAGCAAAAACCAAAATAAAATCTTGGAAAAAGAGTGAGTTGCTTAGAAATGTAGGCACCTATCCACCCTAAAGAAACCATTAAATTAAAAGGTAATACACACAATAATGTATTTAATTGTAAAAATCTGTTACTAACAATTTTCTTTTTCACACTTAAAGAAGATTTTTTTCTCACATCATTAAATTTTCATTATTGTAAACGCACTGAGTTCTTTCAAATTACAAGTTTATTTTTTTCAGTAGTGCTGCCTAAGGATGCTTTTTGTTTTCTCTTAAACCAGTCCTTGAAAAAAAGCAGAGATTTCAGATGAGTGCTTATTACCTTCTTTAGCAATGTGTGATTCACCTTTCACAAAAAGGAATTCCTATACAAAATGTTAACAAGTACTTAATTAGCACTTTTTAAATTCCTTCTTATAGACCTCAAAGTTTAAATGACTCCCAAGCTGTGATTTTCTGCTCCTTGAAAAAGTCTTCCTGTTTGCCTAGGTTGAGGAAAATCCTTAATTACTACATTACTTTCTTCTAAAAAAAATTATTTATTGTTGTTTTGTAAAAAACAAAAAACAAAATATGATAAACATAAAGAATGGCAAGCCATTATTAAGTTTTTCATAAATTTAGACTTACCTACTATTTGTAATTTCTCTCTCTGTAGCTGTACAATTTTATGTAATTTACTTTTTGAGATTTACATGGAAAAGTTTTATTTCAAAGTTTTGCAATTCTGTTATTTGACTTGTTTAATGTTTCATTTCAGAATGTGGAAATAAATTTCAGAGATCTTTTATTTTTTTAGTAGTAGAACTACATATACTTAGTACACATTCAATTTACAGTATTTTACAGTATAAATACATTAGCTTTTTGGAGACTTTAAATGTAAGATAATAAACTTGTTTTTGCTAAATAGAAAATTTGTAAATTAAACTAAATCATCCCTTTAAGAAAACTGATCTGTTAGGTATAATTTAGCTGCAAGCCTGCAGACAATGAGTTTGATATTTATTTATAATCTCCATGTTCAGAAAGTTCGATGTGTATTTATCTGTACTATAAAACCGGTTCATATTCAATAAGCCAAAGTAGCAAAATTTCAATTACTTATCTAAATTAAGTTTGGAAAATTTCACAAAATAATTCATACTAGTGTTTCTTTAAAAAATGAATTTTACCTTTTAAATATATGGGTTTGTCAGATTTTGACACAGTAAACTCTGCAAGAATGCATTTTCTGCATAACATGAAACAAACATGCTTACTTGTCATACATGTACAAGTGTATAATATATACCACTTTCAGGGACCAGCAGGTGGCATGGTGGTTAAGGATGCTGGATACTCACATGGTTGACCATGGTTTGAGTTGAGTTCTGGACCTGGTGACATACTTTCTCTCTCTCTCTCTCTGTCTCTCTCTCTCTCTCTTTCTCTCTCTCTCTCCCCCCTCCCTCCCTCTCTCTTTCACTCTGTTCCTCTCTGGTAAAATTGAAATAAATAAAATTAAATAAAATAATTCTTTAAAATGTATGTATACAACTTTCTATAACTAGTAATCTTCTCTTGATCTTTTATAGCTAATTCAAGAAAAACGATGTCTAATAAACTATCTTATTCATATTTCTCATTTAAATGTGATATTTTCTACTTCCATTTTTTAAAGTTGATTTTTAAAGTCTCTTAAACCAGAATCTAATTATACCATACTCTCTCCTCACCAAAACTCAGTATTTCACATTTTTTTTATTGAATATGCCCAATGAAGATTTTTGTGTGTGTGCTTTTTTTTTTTATTAGTGGTAATTCTATCTATATAGTTCTTAATTGGGTACATACTAATGTTTTGTAACTACATGAAGACTTATCTTTATTCTCTGAACAGTATTTGGCACATAATAAATATTTGTTGAATAACAAATAAGTAAGAGGTTAAAAAGTTTCCATTTACATGTCTTATCTACATAAATCAGAACACTATGAATTCAGGGCCAACAGGTGGCATGATGGGTAAGGCACTGGACTCCTGAATGGTCGATCATGGTTTGAGTCCTAGACCAGGCAGCTTGAAAATCTCTCCAGGCGTTTGTATATACATGCCCAAAATCCCGAGAGGAGAATGGCGGAGGAGGGACTGTGATGTGACCATT